TGGCATCCCACCGCGTCCCCCGTAGTGGGCGCGGTTCGTTCGATCGCGTGGAATAGTGGTATGGCCGGACTGACGCGCCTCATCGAACCCCCGACCCAGTTCGCAATCTGACGTCCCATGAGATTGATTTGTCATCCAAAGCTCGCGGTGATCTCCTCGACTTGCCAACCCAACAACTATATGGCGGCATCAGGCCTTTCGTCTGTGGCCTCGGTCCTCTTCGGTGACATCTTGGATCGGACTGATCTCTGCATACCAACTGATGTAGCATAACAAAACGAATGGACCCCATCAAAAGAAGAGACGTCTTCTTTAATAAAATCCCTACCAAGTCTTAAATTACATAACTTGCCTACCAATACAAGGATAAAGGAAAATAAATAAATATTCACCTACCATCTAAATAATGCAAATAATGGTAATAATAATAAAAATGATGAAAATAAATAAGTAGACTAAAGAAACCAATCAATCATGTTTATCCAAGAATGCAAGGACAATTTCGTCTTCATCAGTTTTACTATTAAGCGAAGATTTGTTCGCACTTGTCATCTATATTTATATAATAGATCATTTTATTTTCCTATATTTTAGTTTGTAAGGGTGCAAAACTAAATAAAAAAAGTTTGAGTTTCATAGTTTGTGCTAGGTAATTCTATAGTAACTCTCAAGTTAATCATGATATTGTGGTGTTTAGATTATTAATGCTTTGTGTACTGGAGCAAGATTTTTTGAGTTTAGCAACTTGTATGGATCTTTAGTTTTGGCAGTTTTTCTTTTGTTATTTTAATTAAGTATTTATTTTCTTTCATTGAAAATCCTAACTAGATCCTAAGGGGATTCTTGGATGTAATATTTTGTTTTGATTTTTTTGTCTGCGTTGGTTAATTTTGAAAAATATGATATGGCTAGTTGTTTGTCCACCTCCAATGTTGCGCCACTTTCTTCATTTCGCCTGAGTGATGTGGCAATTTCTCCTCCAATGCTGCCAATATTCCCAGTTAGATTGCCTCCCACCGCGAGAACGTCGAGGTTCAGATCGACGATGCCTTTTGCAAGCAGAAAAAAAAATCAAAATCCTAAAGCAGATGCACCTCCCACGCGGCTTGCTCCCGCTCGACGAATACAACTAGGACAACGGATTCGTGTAGCTCCAGCGCGCGTAGTGGTTACGCCAACTACAATTGAACTTTAACTATGCACCAGTAAAGTGTGTGCTCTGGAGATTGTAGGACTTGGAGGATTTGGTGAGAGATTTTGGGAAATTAGAATTTTTGAATTGTTTTTAATAATTGGCCTACAGCGATTGGAGTTCTCTTGTAGTTGTTATTTTACACTTACATTAGTATACATTGTAAAATTAAGAATAAATATATATACAATTATATATTAATATTATACATATAAAAAAAGTATAAATTAATTAAACCGGTTTGATCGGTTCGATCACTGGTTCGACCAGTGAACAGAAGATTCACCGGTTCGATGACCGGTCTGATTTTGAAACTACGATATTGTCATGAATCATGAATTCCACTACGATTATCACATGGTATTATAATCTTAATGTTATAATAAAAAATTATGATAAACCGCAATAATTTCAACACTTTATCGTTCCATAGTTTTGATTGGTTCACTATTGGTAATTCATTTGACTATATTATGTAATTGATAGTATATTTATTTGTGTATATAAAAATACAATATTTAAAGTAATGAATCAAGAATGCTATTGCTATAATCACATGATAGTATAAACTCATAATGTCGTAATTTAATTATATATATATATATATGTATATATATATAAAGTAAACTCTTCTTTACGCTTCTTTCTTCCATGGTTTTTATTACATTTAGATCATTTTTTTTCCAACACGATAGAGATATTATATAAAGCGTACAAATGTACAAAAATATAGCTACCGACTGAATACAAACAACCAACATCTGAATATAAACAACCAACAACTGAATAAACTAGGAAGACTAGTCAAAGGACCGTCTAGAATTGACTCCAATAAGGTAATACTCAAGAACACACAAAAAAATTACTAGGACATTAAATTATCCCAAGAGGAGAATGAGAAAAGAAACAGAAACAACATCTACATAAATAATTTATAGTTTTTGACACATGTTTTTTTAACACATGTTTTTAACACATAATTTTTAGAACATGTTTTTTTT